CCCCTCTCTGACCTTCTGACCTCCTCCTGATATGCAGTGGGGAGTGTATAGTTTTATTCTTTCATGTATCCTGTTAGTTGTGAATTTTTAGCTTCAGTTGTTTTTATTGCACTTTGTGCCTTGTAAGCCGCCCTGAGCCTGTGTGCGGGGAGGGCGGGATATAAATGGAAATAAATAAATAAATAAAATTTGGTGGGCAGGCCAGGGAAGGCAGGGCAGGCTAGCTCAGGGGGCAGCCGGCTCCCATTACTGAATTTTGCCTTCCCTTCTGTGGCACAACCTCTCTGGAGTTGTGCCACAGAGGTGACACGCTTCCCTTCAGTGATGAGACCCCCCCCCTTCAGGAGGGGATTATTATAACCTATGGGGACAGTCCCCATAGAGTATAATTGAGCCAAATTATTGAGATAGTCTGATAATTCCCAAACCCCAGTATTATACCGATACTGGGATTAGGGAATATCAGCAAATACTGATATTTTTCGGGTTCAGTAGATCTGAACCCAAAAAATTACGTCTTTTTTTGGTGCACACCCCTAATCTCCATTGTTGCAAAAGGTAAAGCAGCATATTTTTTTTTGCAATTATAACACACTGAAATTCTTAGCTTTAATAATAAAGTCTAATTTCTGTTCCAAAGTGAATTTTAGGGCTTTTCCTCCCTAAATAACTTGCATGATCCAACCAGGATATGTTTTTTCCTCCTTACTTTCTGAGTGCTGTGTTGTTGAACCATACTGCACATAAATTCTCACTTTTCACTTCAATTTTGGCTGCCTTGTAGAAGAAAGGAAAGATTGAAAATCATGCCAAATGGAACCTGTTTGAGTGCACATTGAAACAACCACATATGATGGGTCCTAGTTTGTCAATGCACTTGGGAATCTCATAGTCTGGGAAGCAAAATATAAAATTAAGCAGTTATTAATTGCAATAATTTATCTTGACAACACCATAAATCTTTGCTTGCTGCAGAACTCAGACACTGTAGTCACTGATTATCATCTTGCAGAATCATAACCACAGACTATATTATTAAATGCTGACCTCAGATACTGAAAGTTTGTGCATATGTGAAAGGGAATATAAAGCAAAAGCAGCAATCCAACCATTTTGCATTCACCTCAGAGTGTCTTCCTTTCCTTCTTGTGTATTATTTTTGGTCATGACAATGTACTTCCTTTTCCCCCCTTTCAGGATTAGATTTTTGATGGATTATTAAAAATGGACATGTCACAGATCTCTGCTAGGCAGCTACCTTGTTGGTGAATTGGCACCTACACCAAATATTCCTTGAAGTGCAAGCAATTTGAACACATTTCACATTAAACCAATCTGTAACTGTTATTCTGGCTGCTCCATGCTTGTTGCTGTGATGATTTCTCTTGCTCTCCCAAAATATCTTTAGCTAGATGGTCTCAGATAAATATGATGATGATGATGACTACATCCCTGCCTATTTTGGTATTCTGTGACATTCTCATATCAGCAGCCAGTGGCTGGCTGTCTCACAATGAGGCGTTGCAGACATTCTCATATCAGCAGCCAGTGGCTGTCTGTCTCACAATGGATATGTCATGGAGATGGATTATATCTGCAGTGCCTGAATTTCCACTCTGTTTATACATGTTTCTGCTTACTTCAGGCTGCCTGGATTTTGTATCATCAAATTAGAAGAACAGCATAAAAATAAAAATCCAGATACCACCACATTTCTAAGGCTGAATATAATGTAGGACTGAGAAAGAAATGCATATACATTTTTGATACTTAGCATGTAATAGGCTTTTTTCTGGCATTTTAACCTATGATTCACAAAGTCTGACTAGAAACTGTGTACCATCTCCTCTAGATTTTCCCTCAAAAACAGATGAGTGGCGCCACTCAGTTGTTTCAAGCTGTTCTGTGCAGTCCCTTCCTTCCTTCCTTCCTTCTTCCTTCCCTTCCTTCCTTCCTTCCTTCCCCATTTCCAAACGATGCAAATTCAAAGATAAAGAAATTAGTTCAGCACTAACAACTGCAACCAGAAATTCTTCCTATGATCTTTAGCTAAAGAACTTGACTGATAATATGAAGGTGTTAAAAAGACTGTTAGTGTACTGAACTCTGAAAACTGTTGGTTTCACTAAAACTATCAACACTACGTACTATGCCTAAAGTACTGTCCACAGTTAAGTATGTCATGCCCCAAAGATCTAAGTTGCCTTGAAGTGCACCAGGGAGTTCCTGGGATCCTGTCAGTGACTTGTTTTGCCAGGAAAGACAGCCATGAATGCACCAAAGGGTCAGAGAAACATTACCATTTGCTCTACCTGCCATGAAGGGCAAGATGGATAGCTGTGTTAAAACATGATCTGGGTATTGAGATATGTGGGACGTGGGCCCTGATTGAGAGAACAGGCTCTACCGTCCCACAAGGGAGAGAGTTCCCTGAATCTTCATTGGGTAAGATGCTTCATGCCAGCAATGGCAGGAGTTTTTCAAATACTGGAAGGCAGATTCCCCTGAATGGAGCAGGTAGGGGTCAGGATGTATATTTCCTCCATGGATATCCAGGAAGGGATGTCAGAGGTAACTCTTATGTATTGTTAACATTAGCCTGGTGTTATGTGTTTACATTTTTTCCCTTAAGTCCGTAACCTGAGGCTTGATAGTATTTTCCCTGTTTTGCACTTTAGCTTAATTTGTAGCAATAAAGTTTTCCTGCTTAAGAGAGCAGATTGTGATTCAAAGTCCTCCTTGCACACTTTAATCACCTGTTCACACTTAGACATGTTCACAGAGAAGAAGGGCTGAAGTTTGGGAAACTATGCCCTTTGCACATGCTCAGAGTCAGCCTTTACTAGTGCAACCCAAGTCACTGGTAATATAGAAGGCTGAATTTTTAACTTAGGGTGGTGACACGACGAAGAGGAACATGCGGAACATGCACACAAACACATAACATTCATGTAAACACACATAGACCCAGGTTAGGTTTATGACAAAATATAGGTCAGTTCCATTTATTTGAATGGAGGATCAAATTATGTTAGAATTTTTACAGAGTTTATCGTTAGGGATGGGCATAAACCAGCTGATGAACTACAGTTTGTCATGAATTTTGGTGGGTTCATGGTTCACAAAGCAATGTTTGTGAACTGAAGAACTGCCACAAACTTCCACATGTTTTGATGCAATTTGTGGCAGTTTGTGAAAAGCAGAAAGTTCTTCTTAAAAACAGCTGTTTGGTTTAAATATCTCAGAGCCATTTAAACCCCTGCTTTCTGCTCCCTTCAAAAACCCATGAGAAGCAGAAAGCAGGGGTTTCCAAACAGCTAAGTGACTGCCGCTCAGCTGTTTGGTTTAAATGGCTCTGAGCGATACTGGCATAATAGGTAGCCTTAGATTCACCCACGGCTTCTTTGTGGCTAGGGGGCTTGGGAGCAAGAGAGGGGGAAGTGGGATTCTCACTAGGTTCTCCGGTGGTGGCTTGGTAATGGTAGCAATAGAGCTTTGGCTCCAAAATGCGGGCCAATCAGCAGCTGGTCAGTTGGGAGGAGGAGGGGCCTCTAGGCAGACCTGGAGGCCCAAAGGTTCACTGGAATCTGCTCCCAGAAGAGTTAAGGGCTGCTTCTAGGGAGTGGATTGCTCAGTACCCCAAGCTCATGGATAAGTTTAAGTTGATGCAGCAGAAGGGCTAAGTTACACAGGCACTCCAAAAACAATCCTCTATCATAGGAAAGTCCTGTGATTTATCATGATACTCATGTCTCTATCAGTGAAGGAAATCTCAGCTCACTTGCTGGTCAATCAGCAATTAGTTCATTTTCAAATTGCAAATCAGCACAGTCAAACATCAGAAGAACAATTCACCTATAGTCAAGCAGTTCACTTACTTCTGATCGTACCAAAAATTGCAATATTGCTTTCCTGTGTGTTTTACCACCCTCTGCCAGCTGCCTCCTATCCCCCCAGTTTTATACACATTTACAGTTAATGAGTTGCAGATGCGAAGCGTGTACACCTGTCCTTACAGCTTCCTAATTTGGTGTTTCTTTTTTTTGTGTGATAATTTTTAATTGGTTTTCCAAAACAAACAAACTAACAAATACAACGTAAAAAGAGCTTGGTATCTTGTACTACATCACTTCAAATCCCTCCCATAACTAATGTAAATTAACTAATATTTTGCAACCCTAAATGACAAATAGTACATTAATAAATTCATTTGAGAGTTATCTAAACATCGTACCATTGTTTTCCTTTAATAATGCAAAAACAAAGGCTCTGGTACAATTTTTCCATATTTATCCATCTGTTCTGACCCTTGATGGAATTATTTCCTTTTCTTCTTGCCAATACAATTTACGGCAAAACATATATATACATCTGTTTTCATTCTGACTTGGTACTTAATTATTAATGAACATAAGCATTAGAATCCTTCTGTGGTTTAGTTCCACCTATTATTCTATAGTTTCTCCATCTTTTAGCCATTTTTTTTTAGTTTTCCAAAAAGAAAAATACAACACAAAAAAGAGCTTAATTTCTTGTATTACATCAGTTCAAATCACTCCTTTACAGCATGACTAATGCAGATTAACTACTAACGTAATATTTTTGCAACCCTAGATAGCAAGTAGTACATTTATAAATTCATTTACTAGTTATCTAGACATTCTAGCATTATTTTCCTTTCCCCCACTTTTACTCAATACCCGTACTCTATCACCTGACTCAGTTCAGTTTCCTACCAATAGAAGTCCTTTTATTTAATTGCAGTTGAATGAACGCTAAATCATTCTATTTAAGTGCGCTTTTACTTTAACAAGCCCATCATGTAAGGAGAGACGTTGAAATTTCTTAATAGCATTATGTATATAAGTCACTATGTATATAAATCTTAGTTTCCTTCTTTTTTGTCAAATATCTTCTCATCAGTAAAATGTTGTCTTTGTGTCTTTTCCCCTTGTAGACCATATAAGTTTGGTTTGCAATTAACAGTGTTGAACCTAAGTTCATGTTTGGTTGCATATTTTCTTTTTTCCATTCTGGGATGGAGCAGTAGTCATCTTAGATAGATTCTTGTCTCTGTGTCTTTTCCCTTTATAGACTTCATGAGTTTGCTTTACATTGGGGAATATTTGGCTTGGTACAACGCTTGATTGTCTGATTTTTACCCATTTTTCGTCCTGGAAAAACTTTGTTTTCACCAGTTTAAATGTTTCTATACATGACAATCTCTTCACTTTTGAAGGTCCTACTTCTCTAGACAGTTTAACTTCCTTTCTTGCTATAAAAGTTTTTTTGAAGAACACCTGGTTCTGTCTTGATAAAGCATCTTCTTGCTCACAATTTGGTTCTTTATCTTTAAGGATTTGGTGTAGCAGTTTGTCCCTGTTACTTGTAGGTTCCTCTAGAGAAGTTAAGTTTACATCATTGTCTGATTCCCTAGGCATTCAAATAAATCCACGTTTGTAGCAAAGTAGCATTTATTAAAGCGATGGTGAAAACAGGTACACAAGGATTGTTAAGAATGGAGACTACCTCTGGGGTACAAGATAATAACCAAATTCAAACCAGGCCGTGTCCAATGGGTCCTTTTCCCGCGTGCGGGAAAGCAGGTGAAACAGGCGCCCAAAACCCCTGGGAACAAACGGTCTTAAACATAAACACTAATTCGCTTCCCAAGCCCTAGCCTATTATAATCAAAGCAAAGACAAAACTCCTTCCATCCTCCAGCAGTTGACCTTGGCATTATCTAAGTTCCAAAGCAGCCCTAACAAACGGGGAAAGGCATTTACCTAATCCACAACGCTTACCAGCCATTTACTTTGAGGAGAGGAGGGGAAATATCACTCCTCCTTTCCTTGTCTTTCTGGCTCTTAAGAAGGGGTTTGTTCAAAATATCTCAAGGCTCTTTACTGTTGCTTTTTAGATGTACTCACAATCTCTTCACCGATGTGGGAGGTGAGGCGTTAGGCTCTCTTGGTCAGGTGTAAACAGCTTCACAGTCATGGCTCCATGACTGCGCACCTTTGTGATTCAGCTTCGGGACAACCTTGAGCTGCCAGCCACTCACCACCATTCGCGGGGAGCCAGGTAAAGTCCCCTGCAGCCGACCCTCCCTCCAAAAGAGTTGGTGGGACTTCAAGAACCCCCTGAAGGTCCCCCTAAGAACCACAAAGAGTCGGCATTTCTCAGGAGCTCGCAGAGAAAGTGTCCGTTCTGCTGCTCCGTAACCCGGAAGTTCCTGATTTGGTGTTTCTTAATGGTAAAGGCAGGCAAACTGATCCAATGCACATTTGTGTTCCTTGCACTGTCTCATGGAAATTCAAGGATTTCTCCCACCCCTGATCCACTGTGGTGGTGGTGGTAAGTGTCATCAAGTACCAGCCCATTTATGGTGAATCAGTAGGGGTTTCAAGGGAAGAGAGATAGTTTGCCAGTGCCTCCTCTGCACAATAATCCTGGACTTCCTTGATAGTCTCCCATCCAAGTACTAACCAGGGCTGACACTTCTTAACTTCTGAGATCTGACAAGATCAGGCTAGCCTGGACCATCTGGGTTGGGGCCTCCTCCATTTTAGGTAATTTAAGTGCAAGCTAAGAGGACAACCTGATCTATGCTCTAAAATTAGGTAACTTTAATGACCCAAAAGTATCCATGCCTTCACTGATAATATTCAAAATGTCACCCTTTGACAGTATAACTTAAAAACTATTGCAAGCTGCAATACTTGTGTTAAAAATATAGCTTGATTACCAAAGCATGATTTTTAGCATACACAACTATATATGCATGAAAGCCTGTAGAAGCAGCTACCTCTGCAGCTATGAGGCATCCAATTCAAACTCATAACAAAGCATCAAGGTGATACAGTGAGGGACTTAACACATGCATAAATAATCAGGGTAGTAATTTCCAATGTCAGTTGTATTTTTGAGAAGTTTGAAACATCCCTGAAGATACTGTCTGGAATGGGCATGCTAAGGTGTATTCAAATGCCCTTCCCCATTCACATTCTCACATAAGTGGCTGCATAATAACAATTTGTTTATTTTTTAAAAAAGAATTTTATTAGTTTATATAAAGAAATGGGGAAAGGGGAAAAGAAGGGAGGAAAGAAAATAGACAGAAATATACAAAATTCCAATTTAGCATTTTGCATGCATATCTTCTCATTACAATTTCACAACTATTTCATCAATCATTCTTATTATTTTTCACTTAATCATATTCTCTCAGTACTTGAGTTTTAACCAGTCATAAAATGTCCTCCAAGGTCTCATAAATTCTTCTTCCATTTTTCCTTTTAATATGTTTGTCAACTTATCCATTTCAGCACATTCCATAATCTTCAATATCAACTCATGTAGCATTGGAATCTTTGGTGTTCTCCATGCCATTGCAAATAAGATTTTGGCAGCAGTTATAACATGTACAATGAAATATCTATGATTCTTATCTAACTCATCTGGTAAACAGTTTTAACAAAAATATTTCTGGCTTAAAAGATATTGTGATATTCACGATTGACTGTAAGAAAGTATGCACTTCTATCCAAAATGTATGAACCTTTTTACATGTCCACCGTATATGGTAATATGACCCAATATGGTTGTTACATTTCTAATATATATTACTCAAATTTGTATACCTTTTAGCCAACCAATATGGGGTTAGATGCCATCTATAAAACATTTTATATGAGTTTTCATTGATGTAACAAGTTACTAACATTTACTTTCCATATTTTACTCCACTGTGACAGATTGATGTTATGACCCACATTTTGCATCCATCTAACCATACATTCTTTAACTATTTCGTCCTGCATTTTCAATTGCATCAACATACCATGCATTTTCTTAATAAGTTTCTCTCTTGAAGTACATAATAATTTTTCAAATGCACATTGTTCTGAATAAAATCCATCTGTCTATCCTTACTATATCTAGATTCAACTTGCATTCTAGTCCACCAGTCTAAGTTTATTTCATTTTTCTTCAATTCTTCCTGAGATTTTAAATTATTTTCATAATCTAATAAATCTGCATATCTAATAGCTATTTGTTTTGAGGTCAAAGTTGGTTGAGAAAAAGCTTCTGGAGACACCCATCTGGGAATTTTAGTGTATATCAGTGGATTAATCTTTTCCCACATTGTCGATAATGATCTTCTTATCATATGATTTTTTAAAATATTTATGTCCATAAGCTTTCCCATACCATAAAAAGGAGTGCCATCCAATGTTCCCTCTAAGCTGTGGAGTCTTGTCAGCAAAACTTCTACTTTGTGAGCTACTGGCTTTAAAGTTGTGAGCAAGCAATTTGGCTACTGCATAAATTAGTTTGCTCTGGAGCCATCCTTCCTGAGCTGAGACAAGAATGTGTTAGCCGGGCACTAAAAAACTGTGAGCTAGCTCACACTAACTCAGCTTAGAGGGAACACTGGTGCCATCCCAGTTTTCAATCATGTCTGTCTAGAGCCAGCAGCCAATGATCTTCAAGCAGAATCCATTCTTTCAGCCAGACTAAACTTGCTGCTCTATAATAATTCTTCCAGTCTGGTTCTCCAAATCCAGCATTATCTTTCACATCTTGTAAGGCTTTCAATTTAATTCTTTAATTAAATTTAATAAAATGCTGTGTCAGTTTATTCAATTCATAATTTTTTTTGTTTAATGTATATTGGTAACGTTGGAAATAAAAACATCATATGTGGTAAAATATTCATTGCTATTCTACCCATTAGTGATACTTGCACATTTTTCCATTTCTCTAAATCCTTTTAAATGTCTTGCAACACTTTTTTATAATTATCATTCATCAGGGAACTACATTTTGCTGTAATATTAATACCCAAATATTTGACTTTCTTCTCCAGTTAAAATCCAGTCAACTCTGCTGTTTCAAGTCTTTGTTTCAATGTCATATTTTTCATAATTGATAATTCATAAATTGATAATTCACAATTGATAATTCATAACTACCATATTTTTTATTTCATCAAAGAGTTTATTTTCATTCCCACCATCTATATATCTAATAGCCAAGGTCCGCTCTGCATGTGGATGCTTATTTCCATGGATCTGGGTCACATAGAGGGTAAACAGATCATCCAGCAAACTTGGAGCAGTCCCCATGTTTGCAGAAAAATCTAAAATATTTTTAAAAGTATACGGGGATACTTAAGTCCCCTCAAAAGTAAAACTGCTGACTCTGCACAAGCACAGAGAATGGACTTACTGAGGCACGGGGAAAGCTGTTGGAGCCACTAGGGGAGCCGCCACCGCAATAGCTCTGCACCTCGCTGCTGGGACAGCCCCTGCCAGGACTGCTGGCAATGAAGACTATAGCTTCAGCCAACAGGTTTGTGCACTGGACTGATGAGTAAAGGCAGCCAGTGGCCCCCCCGGGGAGGGAGGGCAGCCACAGCCAGACGTTAGTTGAAGCACAAGGAGGTGAAGCCTGCATCATCAGCCCCCCTCCCTCCTGCAACCAGATTGGGGACATTTGCTGACCTGCAGCAGCAAAAGGAGAGAAAAAGAAAGAAGTGGGGTTCTGTGAGAGGGAGACGGAGAAAGAATAGGGAATTGTCTGTTGGGGGGAGAGAAAGAAAAGAATTGGAGATTGTCTGAGGGAGGGGGAGAGAAAGAGAAAGAGGAAGAGGAGATTTGGGGTAGAGAAATAGTGGAGAGAAAGAGAGGGGCAGACTGAGAGGGGGTGGGGGGCAAAGGACATTGAGAAGGGCTGGGGTAAGAGAGAGTGAGACATACAAGGGGTGAGAGGAGAAAGGAGGTAAGAAAGGATTGCTGGAGAATGGGATAGGGAGGAAAGCTGACATGGAAGGGGTGAGAGGAGAAGGGGACATGAGGGAAGATTAGTAGATAAGGGGTGCGTGCAGTAAGAAAGAGGGTACTTTGACAATAAAGGGGGGAGGGGGGCAAAGGTAGGGGGATTCCCCTCCCCACAAGTTCCTTGCGAGGACTTCCTGCAACAAAGACTACGGTAGGGCCACAACATACTATGCAACATTTTGTTGCGGGTCCCTCTTGTTTTCCATAATTTATATATATTTTTCCTGTAATTTATATATATATTTCCTCTTATTGATGTCACTTTATTAAGGGAATCTTTCCTAATAGCTCTTGTCAGAACTTCCAAAGTTAGTATAAACAGCAATGGAGATATTGGACAACCTTATCTTGTCCCTTTTTCAATTCATATATTATAAGTCAGTTCATTATTTACTAATACTTTCACTTTCAGTCGTACCTACGCACCTACAGCATTTGTGCTGCAACTGACCCACCCTACCCTCCCTATGGGCAGCACAGGACTAGCTGGTCAATATATTTAGGGCCAAGCAGGAATTTTTGTGATTTCACCAGACTGGCTAATCGCAAAGCC